AATATTGAACTTTCATAGAATCTGGCACAAATGTTTGTGCAAAAAATATATGAACGCATAGACAGATGGGCAGGTGGAGAGGTGGACAGACAAACCTATCATCTTTGAAGTGTATTTGGATGATTGACAGGTTCAAACAATGTTCTCCATTTCCAGGCAACATAAAAATGTAGCAAATACAATAATGACATTAAGACATGTATTTAGCATCCCCCACCCTCATCTGTCACTAAAGTTAGACACTAAATGAAGGCCAGCCCTGTAGCCTAGTGCTTAAGGGAGCTAGATCCCCCGCAGCCGGCCATGGTTCAAATTTGGGGGCCCATGGTTGAAAAAAACAAAAAGCCAGGCACATGTTTGTGCATGCCCCAAATCCTGACAGGGTGGAGAGATGGGAAAGAAAGGATTTCTTCCTCTCCTTGTCCCTCTGTCTCTCTCTGGTGAGCACACATACCCTCTGATATTTTAAATGAATAAAGATACTAAATGATGAGGAATCAGCTTTTCTCTGGAGGAGCTTAAATTTTAAAAAAATAAAATAAAAAAGCCCTTGCAGTTTTCTGAAGCTGGGGGGCATGCTTTCTTCAGTGTGCTTTGCGATCACTGGAAGACGATCTGTAGTGACCCTAAGGTGTGCAGAAAAACAAAATAACGTTTTTAGTGATATATGGGTTTTATGATCTTTTCTCAGTCTTACTTTTCTTCTTCCCCATTCAGTGGTCAGTTTTCTCTCGCAGTTGTTGGCCTGAACATAACGTCCTTGGGATTACGGTCCCTCAAGGAGATCAGTGATGGAGATGTGATCATTTCGGGAAACCCAAATTTGTGCTATGCAGACACAATCAGCTGGAAAACACTGTTTGGGACCTCCAGTCAGAAAACCAAAATTATGAACAACAGAGAGGAAAACAGCTGCAGTAAGTAATCCCTCTCTGATTCTGGAGGTGGGGTCAGTGGGCCATTTGTTTTCATTTAGAATATGGAAGGGCCACTCCCTTTCCTTCCTTAAGAAGCAAATTAAAATCTCTGTGTTCCTAATCGTGAGGCTATCATGTGAAGTTCATGGAAACGGTTGCTAGGTCCTTCTCATTTCGCAGGATGAATTTGCCCTGAGGTTTAGGCTCCCTGTTATTTGTAATTTACAAAAACTAATTTCGTATTCGTTTTATTACCTTTTAGCTATAGATTGCACTCTGCTCATTTGGGTTCTAATGTAGCAACACACATACACACACACGTGCATGCACACATGCACACGCACACGCAAACACACACGCGCACGCACACGCAAATACACACACACAGAGGACTGGAATAAACATTTCACTTCGATATTTCCTATTCTGGAATTAGAACTCCACGTCGACTATTAAAGCTGGCAAGTGCACCTGGCCTCCGGGGAAGACCCTGGCCCCTGATAGGGGCACATCCAAGTTCCAGTGTGGGCTGGCCTCTCTGGCTGTGAGATTTTGGTCCATCGACTTCATTTCTTTAAGGCTTTGGCTTCCTTGTCCATAGCAGAGATCATAATGATTTTCATCCCATACTCTGTTGAGAGAATTAAGTAAAATTCTAAAAGTGAGCTCTCGTCGCGGTGCCCAGCACAGAGCATGCAAGCACAGCCTCTGCTGTTTCCGCAGCTGTGCATGTTCTCCAATGCCACCTGGGCCTGGCCCAGAGCTCCCCTGGGCACCCCGCAGGGAAGAGCACACCTGTAGCCGCCCGTGGGAGCCCATGTGTGTCCTTCCTCAGGAGTGCCCAGTGTGGCTGTCTGGCTTGAGGTCGCGGAGTCTGCAGCCCTCACACAGAGGTGCCGCCTCTACTGGACCCTGGGGTCCCTGCTCTTGACTGACTTCTGTGACTGCTTCTGTCTCCATAGAGACCACAGACCACATCTGTAACGCGTTATGCTCCTCAGAGGGCTGCTGGGGTCCGGAGGCCAGGGACTGTGTCTCCTGCCGAAACGTCAGCCGTGGCAAGGAGTGTGTGGAGAGGTGCAACGTGCTGGAGGGGTAAGGTGTTCTTCAAACCCCTTGTTTTGATCAAAAATAAGACTCCTGATTGTTTTTATAGGTCTACCCGTATGGTTTTCTTCATTTTTCGCTTTGTTTATAGTGCCTCATTTATTCCTTTCTTTTCCTTTCTTCTTTGTTTTTTGTTTGTCCATTTTCAAAGTTGGTGTTCGGTTTCTTCCATGTTCGTTTTTTGGCAAACCTAATTATAATAGTAAACAAGAAATCGTGTACGATTACTTGATCTAGCTAGATAATTTACAGAATCTCTTTTCCCGGAAATATCTCCAATTTTTCTAAGCTACTTAAAGTTCCCAAGACAAGTAGAACAGCCATAAATGGTTGACGTGGCCCAGACCAGGCCTGGCTGGTCCTTCTGCAGTGCACTATTCCTGGTTTCTCAAAACATATTCATACAAGTTGTACTTCCAGGCTCGTTTTAGTTTTATCTGCCCCCGTGTGCACTAAACACTGAACAGTGCAGAGAACTGTAAATATAACCATGAACAAAGAAGAGAAAGTAATGCATGTGTTTATTGAATTTAGTTGCAATCTAGAAAAAGGAGATTCTATGAGAATCTTGATGTCAGACTTTGAATAGCTACAAATAATGACTAGAAATAAGTTAATTGGAAAGTAAAATTGAGGGATAGATGCACTTTTTTTTTTTTTAAAGAAAACAGAATTTTTTGTTGAAGAGAAAAGCCATAGAATTGCAGACAGCTCCAGGAAATCTTCCTTGCTGTTCTGTTAGCAGGGGTGGACCCCAGCTTGGCTCAGAAATACTCACTAGCCGGAAGAGAAGACCAAGTTCACTTCTGTAAGAATCCTTACGCTGATAGGCATGAACTAATTTGCATAACTGACAGTACTATTTCAACTTCAAATCAGGAATATTGGCATAATTCTCACTGCTACAGATAGACCCTCACCCTGTGTTTTTAGTTTACAAGTCTGTTTTAAGATACAATGTAGGAAACCAGCAAGTGAAATGGTCGTTAAGACACTAGACAACCACATGGCTGACTGCAGTTCAAGTCCCAGACGTGGTAGCTTGAAAATCACAATGGGTGCATGTGCATCTGTGCCCAAAATCCCAGGAGGAGAATGAAGGAGAAGGGACTGCGGCATGGCCATCCCCTGGGGAGTGATTTCTCACTTTCCCTCTCAGTGTCTCTCTCTGTCTCTGTCCAGTGCACGTACATGCCCCATGACAATAGAGAGAGAGAGAGACCACAAATAAAGTAACCATGTTGGGGTGTCCCATGTCAATAAGTAACCATGTCAAGGAGGTCCCGCACATTCCCGTTGGTAACAAGACACCCAGTGTCTAGCAAACCACACCTGTTCCCTTGAAGATCATCAGCCGGGGTTGCAACCCAGAGAGGCACCACAGAAAAAAAAAAAAAAAAAAAAAAAAGCTATGCATCCTATTTGTTCTAATCAGCGCAATTGCCCTGGAAGGGAGGACTTGACAGCGCACGTTTTCCGTTGTAAACACTCCTTGTTCACTGCAGAGTGCAGTGGGTTAAGGCCAGATTTCAGCCTGTTCAACCTCGGTCACAGCCCTTCCGTCCTTCCAGTCCAGCACCAGCTGCTTGCTTATCATTGGTCTTGAAGAACGTCGAAATACTACAAGGAAAATTGTCCACACTTCTCTCTATCTCTCACCCTGTTGGGTGTGAGAGATAGCACACCCAACAGGGTCCTGATACCGAGACCCACCCTCGCCTCAGCCAGCCCTGGATCACGGGCGTAGGTGTGCCTGGGATGCTCAGGGAGGTCTCTGGACTTGAACCAGGAGCCTTCCGTGTGGGATTGTCTCACAGAGTATCACGTTTTGTTGCCAGACCGCTGTCTGGCTCCCGGACAAGTTTTAACACTCTTCCTTCCTTCTCCTATCCCTCAGTCTATAGTCACTGCTTTGTTCCAGCTTAACTTGAATATTCACGAATTTGGTATTAGACAGAGAGATGACCTTATAAGGATTTCCCCCCCCCATATCTGATAGGTTGCTTATGTACAAAACTTCTGACTGCAGAAAAAAGTAGGAAAGACAATTTGAGTGTAAATGAAGCCTATGTGCTTGTTCAAGAAGAAGTTGCCCAAGGATTCCCTTCATAAAATCAATTTATTATATTATGGTACAAGAGGTCTTCAGAAAGCTTATAGCAAATGCATTGTGAGAAAAAACTGTGCATGAATTTTAACAATGTTTTTGTACCAAAATAAATTCATAAACAAATTTTATTTTTCCACAAACTTTTTAAACACCTCCCTCTCCCCATGTAATGCCAGAGTGCCACCTCTTTGACCTTTACCTAAACTTACGAGTTTCTGAGAGCAGTGATTTGTGGTACCCAACACAGTCAGAGCCATCCCTCCAGCATCTCCGGGGATGGCGCTGAGCTGTCTCCTTCTCCCTTCTCTCAGAGAGCCGCGGGAGTTCGTGGAGAATTCCGAGTGTATCCAGTGCCATCCGGAATGTCTGCCCCAGGACATGAACATAACCTGCACGGGACGGGTAAGAGCCCCTTTGGCGATGTTCACTCTCACTTCGTCATTAAAGTCTTTGCAGCAACAGAACCACAACCATGACCCACATCAGCCCTAGCTGCAAAGAAGAGCCATCAATGCCATGTGCCAGGGCAAGATCTGACAGCGGTCAAGGTGACAGAGTCGAAGTGATGTTTCTGTCCAATGTTCCCAAACCAACTTAGCAACAACTGTTCCTACACTCAACACAGGGAAGCCTATGGAGACTCAGCACAGTGTCAGCTGCTTGTCACCATTCCTAACACCTGTCATCCTTGCTTTATCAGTTTCATCAAACACCATCCAATCCTGGGTTAAGTTGTTGAAGTTTTTTAAAGACACTCTATGCTGAACTTTTCAAAATTTCCAATGTCCTGTTTTTGGCAAGGGCCAGGGTGAGAGGTGTCTTCTAAAAGTTCCTAGAAAATGCATGTGATAAAAGCACTGTGCATGGATTTCAATTTTTTGCACAAAAATACTTGACTCATACTTTATTTCTATTTTCCATGTTTCATATATATGGAGCTCTGTTTGGATTTGGGCTTCAGCAGCCGTATCTAAACCTACTCATTGAAGTTGGGCAGATGACGGTGGGATTGTGTTTGGAAGCACAATCTACTGGTACAGCTGGTTGCAAAGGAGGCCGCTGTTTATGGCTTTACACAGTGTTGAACTAAATGTTCATCATTGATGACGGGGCCCAGCAGGTGGCATGAAGGTTAAGGCAGCTGGATCCCACATGGCCAATTGTGCCATTTGAGTCTCCAACTCGGCAGCTTGAAATCACACTGGGCCCATGTACGTGCATCC